GTACCCAGTCCACGCCTAAATCCCGACAAAGGCCACGAAATCGACAAAGATCTATGCTAGTTCTGATTTCCGTCCCATAAACCGCCTTGAGATCTTGTAAGACCATACAAACGTACTCAAGCGCGAAATCTTATGAGATCCTATGACCCATATCCGACTTTTGAAAACCCTGAAGCGTCCTGAGCCATGAAAACTGCCAGGAGCGGAGGTCATGCCAACCTCACGCATACCAGGGCACTTGCAATAAGATGATTTGGAGGCTTCCGAAAATGAGGGATACCATTTGGGGTCCCCAGAATAAGGATTATGGTATTGGGGTAGAAGGTTTGCTGCTACTTGAAATAAGATGATTTGCATTAACGTTAAGAATGATGCCGCCTTCGCCATTAGTCATTGCGTATATTGCTCCTAACCATTTCACTGTTCACGACACTTCACAGCCGTGTACCAACAGACAAAAGCAAGGATTAGAAGAAGTTTAGGGTTTAAGGGTTTAGGGTTTAGGGCTTAAGGGTTTAGGGTTTAAGGGTTTAGGGTTTAAGGGTTTAGGGAATGACGCCAACTGTTGCCAAACGGTCGACAATATTCATCTGTTGATACTACACAAGACAAGACCGTTGCAACAACAACCCTACACCCTAAACCCTAAGAACAACAGCAACACTGGTTGCAATCGGAGCAAAGGGCATCACCCCATGTCTATGGCAATAATGATTGTCATCATCATGGCAAACAATTAATACGGCAGTTTCCGTAAATAGGGGCATTCCAAGATACACCCCAATTTGCTGTCTTCCATGGAGACCCCCAAAAAAGGAACCCCCATTTCATGGAAACCCTCAACTCAGAATAAGCCAGCCCTGTGTAGCCGGCGCGGCTGAAGCCTCCATCATTCTAAATAGCACGCGAACCTGACGAATAAACCCAGAAAGGCAGCAGTACCACTGTACCGGCAGGAACAGGAGGTACATGGATTATCATGTCGTTGGCAACTGCATGCTCAAACCAAATCCTTAGCCAAACCTCATGCCCAATACCTTCAAAGCCCATATGAGCTATAGTCTAAACTCCTCCTGGTATCCCCCTAAATGACCCCTAGAAAAGTCCCCTATAAACTCCGCTTTTTAAGGACCTTTTGGACTATAGCTCATACCCAGAAGAATGAAACAAAATTCCGAAGGCCTCCGCATGGGCAGCATGCCACTCCCAGGGGACCTTCACAGGGAAGGATTTTGTAAAGGGACTTTACTGGGAACCCCAAACAGGAAAACCCAAGAATATACTAGGAATATACCTACAAGGGTCCTTACGTTCTATTATATTGCTAGTATATTCTTGGGGTTCCCTGTTTGGGGTTCCCATTAAAGTCCCTTCATTTTGGCTGTTATGACACCTCAAGCCTACAATAACGCACAGCCCTATTAAAGTTTATATATATATATATATGTAGCTAGAGAGGGTTCAGGGGTTTAGGGTTTGGGGCAAATCTGGGAAGGTACTCAGATTTCTAGCCCTTTTTAAAAAATATTTGCTAGCGATATTCAAGATGGCGCTGCTTCAGGTTGAAAACCCAAATCAAAAAGACAGCTATTTCAGGGGCCTGTAGGATAATGTAGACCCATGAGTAATACACCCCCTCCTTTTAAGGGCCTTAATTAGGATCCCCATTATAATCCCTGTTAAGGGGAGGGGGTTTATTAATCAGGGGTCTGGGTTAGGACAAGTTTCTAGAGCCAATGAGAAGACATGAGCGCCTGGTCACAGATGTGACTGCAACAAGTAATACAAGGCAGAGGAAAGCCTGTCTGTCAAACAGAGCCGTATTGAGGCCCAGAACCAAAGGTCAACAAACAACAACAACAACAACAACAACAACAACAACTCCTTTGGGTATGTTTTGCCGGCTGTAGATGCGACCGGCTGGCAATTTCTAAGCGCCTTACATCGTCTGAGCCTATGGGCTATATATAAACCTAAACCCTAAAGATTCTTTTGGACCAAGCAGGTATCCTAAGTTTGGCAGTTGGCCTACATACACACCTCTCCATAAACGAAGCCAGAACGCCCCGTACACGAAATCTAAGCACCCTGCAGGCCCCTTTTAGGGTTTAGGGTTTAGAGTTTAGGGTTTAGGGTTTACGGTGCTCACATCTAGAATCTAGAACAAAGAATCACATGCTCATATTTGTTAGCTTTATCTGGAAGAGACTGTTTAGCACTAGAGACACTATAGTGAGAGGGTTGCTTCTGTCTGTACTTCTCTTCTTACTGCTACCTACCCAGACCCCCTAAAGGATCCAAAAAATGGAACCCCCTCATAATCCCCTAGTTTCCCCAAGGTAGCAATGGGTTCATATAGGGAGGGTTCCATTTTTTGGATCCTTTAGGGGGTCTGGGTAGCTGCTCCTACTATCGTTCACTTCGCTGCTTCTTAGGGTGCCATTTCCTACTAAAGGAACCCAGGGTTTCCCTGTGGTTTTCCTTTGTAGTATCCCTCTATCTCTAAACCCGAAACCTTCAACCCTACCCCAAACCCTATGTATCCCTAAACCTTACACCCTAAACCCTATGTATCCCTGTGTCCCTAAACCCTAAATCTTCAACCCTAAACCTTAAACCCTACCCCAGACCCTATGTATCCCTATGTCCTAGAATAAGATGCCAGGATGAGCAGGCACCTGCACATGGCCCCAGCAAGCGGCGGCGTCTTCCACCGTATAGGACCAGCCGTGCACCTTGAACTGCGAGGGGCCAATGAGGATCATAGGGTTTAGGGGATTCAGGGTTTAGAGTATGCATGTATATATGTATATATTGAAATACTATAACCTTTATTGTAAGCAGATGAAATCTGTCCCTGGAACATAAATACAGCTGTAATTCCAATCATGTGATAGGTGACATCTAGAAAGTCTGAGCTTGCGCATAAAGCTGTAAAATTTGGTTTGATTCAACGTCCAGCACCGCAGGGCCAAAAGAAACCGAAATCTCGGTCTGACCACCACAAGCTGTAGCCAGCCATCCCAATACCAAGCTGATGACCGCAGTTTGTTCGGTGAGATCCCTCATCATTCTACACCATGACAGACCTCCTGTACGATCATGTGCCACCTGCACATCCAACTTCCTGCAGGAATGCAAGCACCCGGAAAGAAGGCTGCCGACGCCCCTAGATCACATGGTGCCTGGTCAACGTCTCCCCCGATCTATTCCCATCCATTCAGGAACAGATACGGAAGACGAGGGAAACCCTATGACGGTCATTTAGATCTCACAACAAAACAGGCACCCCGGAAACAGTCCAGTTCTGAGCTGGTCCACCGCCTCTCCCTGCCATATCCTGCAGTGCAAGAATGATACATGACGCTGCCTGGGCTATGCCCTGAATCTCCCGTGTCCTAGACTCTTCGAGGATCGAAGCCCTAAATCCAGATCTCTGCTGCTGTCGGCCCAACAGCGACTACTTGGAGGGTCAGGGGGACTTAACAAGTAGGTCAATAGCCCCAATAACCCACATAGTTAGCCCATTCATCCCCATCATTAACCTACTTACTAATTCCCCCTGACCCTCCAACCCCAAACCCTAAAACCTAAATAATAGAGTAGTTTCCATCCTCTCTTCTGTCGTTAACCTACTTACTGAGTCCCCCTGACCCTCCAACCCCAAACCCTAAACCCATAGTAGTTTCCATCTTCTTTTCCGTGGCTAACCTACTTACTGAGTCCCCCTGACCCTCCAAGTAGCACCACATTCCTGGGTTGCTGTTAAGGAACTTAATTTAAGCTACTATATCGGGGGAACCATATTAATTACTATATATACCCATTATGGTAACTTAATTTAAGTTCCTTAACAGCAACCCAGATTCATGGCAGCCAGGTCCTCATCCCCGGCGCGAAGGCCTGCGACCCTGGCAAGTTGGCGGCAGCTGCTTTTGCCTCGGCTCGCCAATCTCTTAACACTCCTTGATACTATAACCTACTATGCTATATCATAATATACCATAATAATATACTATAAAATACCAAAAGATACTAGAATATACCATAATGTACTATAAAATACCATAATATACTATCATCTACCATAATATACTACAATCCTTAAAGTCTTCGTTCATGAAGCGCTCTAGGGACAATTTCATCTGCTTCAGCCCCAGAATCCTTCTTGTCAACGCAAATCAGAAACAGCTCCTTCGAAACTCTCTGGAAGGGGCACCATGCTGAATAATTACTACAGGGGCCTAAGTAATTACCAACATCATTTTAAGGTCCATTTGAGGTATCATAGACTGTTTGTATAAGGAGTATGAAGTCATGATATTGGTAATTATTTAAGCCCCTATAGTATCCGCACCGTTAATTCAGTCTTCTGTTTTCTGAAAACACTTGTTTCTCCTTGCTTTAATCCCTGTGGCTACAGGAAATGTTTACCAACACCATGTCGAGGTGTGTCTGCGGTCCCCTATTATACCATAATTGTATGAAAAGTCTGACTGGAATGCTGGTTACTATGAAGGCCCCTACATTGCACCACAGCTTGTTGAGATCAGCGCATGTTCTGCAAGCGCAAACTGGACCATGGCCTGCATGAATTTGCGCAGGATAGGAACGGATGATGGGGCGAAGCTTCTTCCGACAAATCTCAACATGAAGAAACCAGATCCCACAGTGAGAACCACAAAGCTTGATGGCTGGAGGCTCGTACCACCCCGTAGCCAAGTATGTGAGTGGCCATACTTCCCCACCGTACCCTACATGATGCGAGCAAAAACATAAAGGCAATTTCCAGCAGAGAAACGCAATTTCCGTTAGAAGGCTAATAGATCTTCAACAAACTGGGTTCTGAGCAAACTCAGCACACGAAGAAATGATCTTACTGGGGGTTAGTAGGAAAGAAGGAGATACATCATGTACGGATTATACTCCCTTATGCCCCATTAAATCACGCTAATTGATAGGTTGCTGCAGACATCACGCCATGGAAAACAAAATCGCACCTTCTGCTCTGCCCGTTCGATGTCAACACGCTTGACTCGCCCGTACACCTTGACATGGTGCAATGCAAGAACAAGCATATTATAGTAGATCATAATATACTATAGTAGATTCTAGTAGGTTATAGTACTTATAGTAGATTTTAGCAAGCTTGTGATTCACTGACAAGCGGTTTTCCCTCCTTCTGCCAGCGTACACCGAATAACCCCAGAACATGTTCTTGCAACGCTAGATCCATCTTTTGGAGTGATGCTTGAACCTGCCCTGCTTTTGACTTACATAAACGGCTAGTGAGGATAAGCGGCTCAACATACTGAGACTCACCCCAACCACCAATTTGACTTTCAGACCACTTCTCTCCGCTTCTTAGTGGAAAGCAGAAGTGTCTGGCAGTAAAAAACTTGTTGGTTCAAGCTTCATGTTTGGGTACTTCTGGCACCCATGTGGCCTGGTCGTCAGCTATGCTTCATGGCAAAATTTCCCAAGATAGGGTTTAGGTTTGGGGTTTAGTGTTTGGGGTTTAGATGCACAGAAACTTGGAACGGAAGCCGACCAAAGCAAAAGGACGGCCTAACTGCGATCGGGGGCAAGTCTTTCCACATCCAGAACGTAGATATTGAACAGTTTACAAGTGAAGGAAAGGGGTAGCTTCGAAACGGGGACCCCAAAATATGTTTACCCACACCGGGGGTGCTTCATACAAAGATCCCGCCGAGAAGTGAGATTTCACTTCGAACACTCTCATCTGATTCTGCCAACAGTAACCTAAACTGGCCTCAGAACCCCACTAAAAATTACAATTGTTGGTTGTTATTAGGATTATGGTAACCAAAAATTAAAAACTATTTTGGAGGTCCCAACAGTAACAGCACGGCACTCCAGCACAGCTGTTTATCAAATCTTCGAGCGTTTTTTTGGGGGGCAGGTCCTTGCGATAGCAAGCCTGTAATATTCGGGGCTGTACCATGAACCATAGTGTGAGAGAGAGACAGACAGAGAGAGAGAGAGAGATACAGATATCCACACGTACCCCCTCCACGCTGAAGATCCAAACACACAAAGACCTCCTTTGCACACAGCTATGTATGGCGGTATGTCTGGGGATATGGGTGTTATGCATGGTAGTATATATAGGGATTATAGGGGCAATATAGGGGTGTTAGGGGATCATCTAGGGTTAGATAGAGATTATAGCTATTCAACTGCGAATGAATTATGGATAGTTGCTGAGCTTTGGAAGAGGCAGGCTATATATCCTGGCGCACTGTGTATTCGCAGAGCTTCCCCCACACTAATTGTTGTGATTATTCTTACTTGAACTTGTAGTATTAATAGCGGTAATATGAGTACTTCTAGTATGAGTATTCTGAATATTACTATTCTTAGTAGTCCCGGCAAATTCAATACTACGAATACTCACATCACCAGTAACAGTAGAAAGTTCATCAAGACAGTTTCTGAGGGCAGGCACTGAAAAAATTGTGACCAGCTCATCTTCTTTCATGATGGCCGGCCTGGGACAAGCCAGAGTTTAGGGTTTAGGGTTCAGGGTTTAGGGTTTAGGGGTTTAGGGTTTAGGGTTGATGGCCTAAGCAGGTCCCAGTAAAGGGGTTAGGATTCGCACTAAAGATATGAAGAACCAAATGAAAAAAAAACATGGACATGAAATGGAAACTGGGCTTACATGGGCTTCATCGATGGTTCGTTGGCATTCCGACTGTATCTCAAAGCTTCGAAAACTAGGGGTATATGTGCGGAATGGAAGACATGGAGCTGGGATTATCTAGTAGGGTTTCTGTAGATGAGTACCTTAATGGGGATCGCAGAGCTCTGAAGATTCTTGGACATGCTGCAACTACAGTGAACAATGGAGAACCTAACTGGAAAGTACACGCAACCTTAAATGGAAACTGGGTCTATGCTGGGTTTTGCAGGGTCCGCTTGCGTAGACGGCCTCTGCGCTGCATATCTTGCCACAAAAGTGAAACTCCGCTGCTGCTGTGAATTCCAAGCGTAGGAACTGGACTTCCACAGCTGGGGATAGGTGTCATGCTGAGCGCCTGACACAGGTGAAACCATCACAACGGCCCTGCAGCACATGGCACTGTTGCGAAATCTGAGAACAGGAAGCAAGATGCAAGCACCCCTGCTAGAAACATCTAGGGAACTCTCATATACTCTCATGTGCCTCATGTAACCCTCTTACAATCCTGTATACAACTCCAAGGCGGCAAGGGTCCAGGTTTTACAATAGTGCTTTGGGCCAGAGGAGTTGAAGGAACTCGGATAACACGTGAACCCATTATGGTTTAGGGTTTAGGTCTAGGATTGTCCCCAACAAAGGCTGCAAAATTGGTATGTTGGTTGAAATGGCCTCTTTCTGATAACATCAGCAGTGGGGGAAGGGCAACGATTGTGAGGCACAAGGAATTCTTCATCACCCAGAGCCCCTGAGCTGCCACAATTCCGGAGGTTTCAAGTAGCTAGGGTTGCGAAGGAGTTCCCTCAATGGTGCCGACAGCATAGAAAGTTTAGCTAGCAAAGAAACGCGTCCAAAGACCTTCTCTGGGCTTCAGCGACCCCAGCACAAGGAAAAACTGCTGTTAGTTGCTCATCAAAAGAGATGTCCAAGAAAAAGGGACTGTTCTTAAACCCTAAACCCTAAACCAATCCCAGCTTACTACCTGAATTCTTGAGCCTAAACCTGATCCTCAAACCCCCAAACCTACAGCTGACTAAGCCCTCATCTTAAATAATCCCTACAACATCCTCCTAAGCCCTAAACCCCAAGCCCTAAAGCCTAAACACCTGTAGTCCCCCTTAAGTAGATGGAATATGGCTTTGGGTATATTATAAGAATATTTCCATATACCCCATATTCTATCTACTTAAGGGGGCCTATAGACTGTGTCCCTCCGGCCTGGGGTCATCAGACCTATCTTCGAGCCGCTGGTGCCATCGTCGGCTTTGCTCGTGGATGATCCGAAGCCTGAGTCGTTATCGCAAACCCAGAAAAGTCTATAAAGGGATAACAGGTAGGGTTTTAGGGTTTAGGGTAATAGTGACTATAAGTCTGTAAGGGATAAGAGGGATTCTATAATGGCTGTACAGGGTTCTAGGGTTTTAAAGGATGACTATCCTGGTGTAATATTCAGGTTTGGGAGGTTCAGGGCAAAGGCGCCTTCGAGATGTCCCGAGGTTTGGGTGCCTGGCTGACAGGGCGCCAGAAACTTGAATAAGGAAGGAGTAAGTTTAAGTCTAAGTCTAAACAAGGCACCGGGGTACACTGCCAGCTAACTGAATTAGTTGGTTGCTGGTCTTGACATGTCTTGGCCCCGGGAATCGTATCTCTCGCAGGCCCTTTGGAAGACGTCCTTTTGCATCAACTAGCAGCAAAGTAGCCGTAGCAGCAGCATCATCAATACAGCAATAATAGCGGCAATCATAGCAGCAATAGTAGCAGCAATAGCAGCAGTGGCAATGACGTGACATACGTGACATACTGGTAGTGACAGTACCGGTGGATGCATTTGGGCAGCCTGAGATCAAAGCTTTTCTATCCGATCGAGCATGCTGGTGATTGTGTCGTCAACCTGCCAGTTCCATTACCCAGACCCCCTAAAGGATCCAAAAAATGGAACCCCCTAATAATCCCCTAGTTTCCCCAATGTAGTAATGGGTTCACATTGGGGGGGGGTTCCATTTTTTGGATCCTAAACCCTAAACCCTAATCCCTAAGCACTATAGACCCCTATAAACCCCTTTAAAGGGTTCCATTTTTTGGATCCTTTAGGGGGTCTGGCTGGGTAGCGCATGAGCAGCTTTGCGTCCCCCAGTGTTGCTACTCAAAGTCTGTGTGTTTCTCTGGGTTGGCCCCTAAAACCTTTCGAAAAAATATTAGTATATAGGGTCCCTTATTAAAGCCATTAGGGAAAATATTAAATATCCCAGGACCCTACCCAGTTCTTGTATTGAAAGAGAAGCTCTGAACATCTCTCTCCTGCAGTGTCTCTCGTTGCAAAGCAGGTCCTGCTGCGTGGAATTCTATCCTCAGTGTAACTCGGTTCGTGCTGACCGTTGAACCCATATGGCAAATCTCTCCTTAGCGCGGAGGACATGCTGGTGCCCAAATGAACATTTGGACATTGTTTCTGCATACTGTCTGTATCTTGGGACTTTGCAATGCAAGCCGTGGGCTACATGTGGCGAACATGAAGATGAAAAGCTGACTATTCATTAAGCATACCAACTCTCTCTAACTCTATTACTGGATGAGCACTTAGCTGCCTAGGTTAAGCAGTGCATTGCTGGGTACGAAATACACACTGCGACACAGGGCACTAAGCAAGGTGCCTACAGGGCCTGGCCACCTGTCAGAATGCCCTGCTTGACATGCTATCTGTTCGGGGCTGCCAGGTAGTTTGGGGGCTTCAACAAGCTCACAGCTACAAGTTCAACTTGCTCGTGGTACATAGTCCCCTTAACAGCCAACATATTGAACAATCAGCACCAGAATTGCGCATAACACCTTTAGGTGACGGCTTCATACCCAGATTCAAAACGAGCTGCCAGTACAAACGAGGATTCATTAATTCGTCCTGTTTCGTGCCACCCTCCAACAACCTATACTTTACAGCAGAGCCCTAAGCCCTAAACCCCTA